TGGGGAGCTGAAAAAGGAAGAATTCCGCCTTGAACCCAGGCAGGCGAAGGTTGCCATGAGCCGAGATCCATGCCACTGGCACTCCAGCCTGGGCGACAGAGTGAGAACCTCCATCTCAAAATTAAAAAGAAGAAAGAAAGAGAGAGAGAGAGAGAGAGAGAGAAAGAAGAAAGGAAGGAAGGAGGAGGCGAGGAAAGGAAGGAAGGAGGAAGGAAGAAGAAGAAAGAAGAAAGAAGAAAGAAAAAGAAAGAAAAGAAAGAAAGAAAGAAAGAAAGAAGAAAGAAAGAAAGAAAGAAAGAAAGAGAAAGAATAGAAAGAATGCAGAGGTTCCTGGCCAAGCCTTGGTGGGCTCACGCCTGTAATCCTAACACTTTAGGAGGCCCGAGGCAAGGGGATCCCCAACGTCAGAAGTTAACGGGCCTGGCCACATGGACAAACCCTGTCTATCTAAAAATACAAAAATTGCACAGGCGGTCGGGTGGGACACCGCCTATAATACCCCGGCTGCTCAGGAGGCCGAGCAGAGAAATCGCCTTGAACCAAGGGAGGTGGAGGTTTGCAGTGAAGCAGATGCGGCCATTGCACTCCAGCCTGGGCAATGAGAAACAAGAGCGAAACTCCATTTCCAGGAGGAAAAAAATGCAGACCGGGCCACCCAGCTCTGCCAAATGAGAGTCCGTATCTGAGCAAAATCTGTTGGGTTATTTCGCTCATTTCTGGGCGCCCCCAGCTCCCATGTGAGGAAGGAGAAGGAGCAGTGGAGTGCGGGCTGCCAAAAACTGAAGAATGGGTTGAATCAATGATGCCTTGACCTTGCACCCATCCAAGGAATCTCCAGACCAGTCTCTCAAACATCTGCTACACACCAGACTCACCTGGGAGATTTTAAAAGTCCTTGGCCAGAAAATGGTGGATTATGCCGTAATCCCAGCACCTTTTGGGCAGCGGAGGCCGGGCGGATCACTTGAAAGGTCAGGAGTTTCGAGACCAAGCACTGGCC